TTTGTCAGTGGCCATAAATTCGTTACGCGTGATCTTGCGTGCTCGCACGAGTTTACGTCCGTCGGTCGGTGAGACCCTTGGAACGTACCTCGAGTTCTACTTTACGGACCGGAAAGATGGATGAGGGCTTCGCGGGAGGCGAGTTGAAATAAATTTCAACGAGACGAGAGGGACTCGCGGTAAATTTTTTTCGTTCAGCGAAACCGAGAGAACCTCAAAGGAAAAGCCAGTTTCTACTAGCTTATGTGTGCGCGAGAAACTTACTTCTTCTCTTTTTCGCTCGTGCAAAGGTATCGGCGAATTCTATTGCTGAAGCGAAGGAGGTTTTGCTTCGAACGAGGCTGGTAATACTAAAGAGACTCCCTCAGACCCACCTCTTTAACCTCCAACGGTACTGCACTTCGTGCAATTTCACGGAAGATTGCAACCGCTCGCTGAGATTTTGTATATTTAATCGACAATGCTGTTCGAAAATGCCGGAATAAGAGAGAAACTCGCAGACAGGGTACTCTCGTGACGAACGCAACGTGATTATAAGCCAGCGAATGTACTTCTGGAAATCATTGTTATATTATTATAATTTGATGATACAGAGGTAAAATTTAATTAATTAGAAAATTCAACAATAATACGCGTATCTCTCTATAAAATAATAAATTAACATTTTTGACATCACTCATTTACTTTATCACTGCATTAATATATTACTTCGATATTTATCAATCTTTGATTCACTCGACGCACGGAATTATCAGCAAAGAACGTATACTTTATTATCCGATTTGTTTTGAAGGTTTACTTATGAATAATGTCTAAGAAACTACTATCGTTTGCAACATTAACTTATAAAATATATATACCTATAGATATAATATTTTATTATATATCATATCGCTTGAAATTGTCACAACGACTATATATAAATATGTATTAAATTTTTCAAGTTTGCGAATAAAAGTTTTCTCGAAACGAATAAGGATATATCGAGAAAAAATTTAGTTCGCGAAATGGTGGTCGTGAGATAAAATACGAAACCACGTTGATTTTATTAAGTAGTCGTAAAAAGGCGGGTTTAATCGATGGATTATTCAACATTACGGTACTATACAGCGTAGCAAATAACGTCGCCCTTTTTCTCCTCGTTGTAAATGCACAGGTAGAAATTTCGTTCGGCGAGATAGCGCCGGTAAATCAAAGTTTATTCGTCGTGTAAATCGCATACACGCAGTAAAGTGCCATCGTCAAGCGGCGACAATGCTGTTGCAACAAATTGTGTGCGCATACGAGATTTGGGAGTAAACCGTGTATATAAACGCGATTATGCATGGGGCGTCGTAGACCGCGAGAATGTATAATCAACAACGTGCTATTTGTTTATGTTGCTAATAAAACGCAAACAAGATACAGCCATTATTTCCGCGTCAGTTTCCCCTCGTTCATTACAATCCGCAAATTATTATCTCGAAAATCTGTTGCAGAAAACGTCACAAATATATCTTTAAAATATATCTTAATTATTACACAGAAAGGATGATTTGCTGAAATATCTGAAAGTAGATACAAATCTGAAAATAGTTTTGTTCAAGTAATTATGTAATACGCTCAAGCAATAATAATGAGCAATATCGCAAAAAGTTTTGATATTCTAGCAACCAGCTTGGATCGTCTTACAAAATTATTTTCAAATCTATATCTAGCGTTTTTGATAAAATCGTTCTTTCTGTGTAAATCAATATGTATATATATATATATAAAATGTATTTGTTGTCTTATTATGATCTTTCAAAATTATTCTAAAATACTTCGATTCGAGATATTATATTAAAAAGGATAATTTTATTGAAAAGATAAGATTCTCATTAAAACATAATTCTTTAATTTCGCTGTAATCGATGCATACAGTGATTTTTATTAGAAACTAAATGGTTAAAAAAGATTGATCCGTATAATTTTTCATTCAAGTTTTTCTTCATTGGCCTGATTTATCCATTTTATTTTAAGACACACCCTCTTTTCACTTATTTTCCAGAATAAAGCCGTACGCATTAATAGATCTTTGTAGCCATCAACCTATTTACTATGCGCGAACACACTGCGAGACGCACACACGCAATTACCTATTTACAGCTCATTAAACTATTTCCCAATCTTCAATCTTGCATATATGCAATGGTAGTTGAATCAAACGAAGACTTATGGATACAAATGTCGAATGAATTGAAATAGATCGATAATAGCGATCGCTCATTTTGAGTCAATTGGAAGCGTGTAAAGAGAAATCTCAGCAAAGATTCTAGTGATCTTATTGTTAGTAAACACATTTTGTGTCACATTTATATTTATTTAATGTACAAAAAGCATTTACTAAATATTATCAAATTTTAAAATTTATAAGTTTATAAAATTATAAGTATATTTAAAGTTTAAAAATAAGTTTATACAATTATAAGTTTAAAAGTTCATAAAGTTTCTTATAATTATATATTGTAATTTATATAATTATATGATTATGTAAATTATTAAAATTTTATAAGAAAAATATGTAAAATTGATTATATAAAATCTAACTATCTTTTTATATTAATTTGGTAAGATTAAGAAATTCGATTATGCAAATAATTATTAGATATCAATAGAATTGATAAAGAAATTAACATAGTGTTTCATATTTGACGTTATTTGAAATATTACTTTATTCGTTCTGATCAAATTATTTGACACGTCATATCTCCTATAATCTGAATCTTATGAATAAGTATATACCAAGACAATCGTTATCTCGATTGTTATAATTCAAAATAGGATTGTCGTGATGCCACGTCGTAACGAGAAGATATATAGGCTGTACAAAAATTTTGTATCGCAGTCGCGTTGAATCATTAATGAATCCGTCACGAAACGCCCACGCTCGTGGATGTCTTAATGAAGGCAATCCAATTAGTATGCTCGCGGACAATGGAGGAGATCACGGAAAGTGAACGAATCTCTTCTGTACCTGTGTCCCTTTCGTTCCCGCCTCGCGCGACTTGCATTCTCAGCGTTCTATCGTACGAAATATGCGCATGCTTTATAGGGCCGATGAAATGTGTGAATTTAATTTCTCGGTGCTGCGGGCGCATAAATATGCATCGCGCAGCGCTCGCTCCTTCCCCGCGCTCTGATTTATGCGCGATTACGCATTTACTGGAGCGGCGACGGATTCCGCTGACCGAGGACGGTCAGCGGTTTCGATATTGTCCGGATGAACGAGAGGAAACGACATAAAAGGACCGTTGAAAACTTTAATCGATAGCCGAGCTCTCCCGATAATCCGATCCACCGGACGGATCAATTTATCCTGCGGCATCTGCACTTCAATATAAATTTTCGTCTCACGGTTATTTTATATATAATTATATATTTCATATATAACAAAAATTAGCAGTAGTTTATCCTTCTCTTTCGGTATAAAAAAAAAAATTGGAAAAATTTTAATAATACAATTTTTTCGTTTTTATAATATGTTATACCGAAAAAAAAGTTTTTAGTATTTGTGATTATGGTTGTTATTACTATAATGTAAGTAATAATAATTATATGTTCTATTAACAAATATATATATATATTTTTTTTATTTTATTTACATACAAGTGGTGTCAAAAATAACTACAAATTATAATAATATTATTGCGGTTGCCGCGATTATTTTATAATCGCGAAGAATTATAACTAAGAGATCTTAAAACAATATTAATTTATAAAAATAATTGCAATTACAGTAATTTAATTACTTTAATTTATTGTCATTTTTAGTGCCAGTTGTATATACCGTATAAATAAGTAATTATTGACAGAACTATGTATAATTATTATTAACATACATTATAAGCAGTGTAATAATAACCATAACATGTAATATGTATAATTACAGTTACAAATCCCAAAAGCTTTTCTCTCAGTGTAGGTATTTTAGTATTGACTTAATTATATTACATTGGATTAGCAATTTGATTATTTTAATATAAATATATTTGTTTTGATGTTTTGATTTCTTTTAAAATCCTGTTGAAAGCTTTCGATTAATAATAAATGATAAATGATAAAATCAGTGCTATTAATTTTTCTCGTGTTACGAAATGCATTTACATTTTTGTATTATGTATTGTGTCAGATAAATCGATTTCCGCGAAAAATGTTATATATAGGACTCCGGTATGTGCATCCTTTTCTCTTTCGGAGCACGTACGACGACCATGAAAGTTAATCAAGCAGTCCGACGCATCGAGTATTAAATTAATCTCAACACGTTGTGTGCAGAGCTCGCGAGAATGTAACCAGCCGCGACGGCTGATTGATACAAATTGGCATCAATTTCCTTCAATTTGCAAGGGATCTCGTAATTTTACGACGCTAGGCGGCATCTGCCGACGTTGTCAGGCGCCTCGCCGGCGGCAAAGCATTTCTCTCGGACACTGCATGGATCGATGTAAACTGGTTGTGTCGTCGGTAAAGCCGGAGATATCATTTCGAAATGACTTGGGTAGGTGGCGCACATGCCACCTCTTTTCTCGATAGCTCGCTCGTGCGAGATTTCTCTTGTTGTCTTGTTATTTATATCAAATTTGTCTGAATTGTTAATTTATGCTGATTGTGAATGCATGCTACATTGATCGACAGTGTTGCATTTGGCTGTGAGATTAAATATCTGATCTGGTTTTACATTGATTAAAATTTAATTAAAAATGACAATTTTTGATTTTACATTAATTAAAATTTAATACCTTAATCTCATTAATTTTAATAATATTCATAATTTTTAATAGCACGTGTCTGGTAGGCTAGTCAGATAATTCTTTTTTCTCGTGATTAACGATTTGTTGAACGTGAATTAATCTTACGACATTTAATTTTGTTGATTTGAATTTCAAATATTATACATTGATTCAAATATGTAAAAAATGATAAGTATTTATATGTTATAATTTTCTTACTTTATTAATAAAATTTGTTTTCTTTTTCAGTTGCCGGATCTAAACAATCTCGATGAAAAGGTGAGTTCATGATGAAAAAATAGCATCGCAATAATACGTGAGTTACATGAGAAATGCATATAACACTTATAAATAAAAAAATTATTATTTACTGTTATGTTAAAAAATGATGAAATCCGGTATAAATCTCAATATACGTGCAATAATTGTAGAATATACGATATAGGAATAAATTATTCGATAGGTGATAGCTGTACGTTAAGTATAGACTACGCAATTTAAATATAGACGAAGAGGAACGTTTTGCTTAAAAATTACAACGTTAATTTTATACAAAAAATTATGTACTTACTATTATCATAAATTGACTATCATCATAAACTGGTGAGTCAACAAATGCAGACAATGAGAATGCAAAAAATTTTCACGACTTTGATTTAGCTGCTGTCTACTTTATCTATTTTGGTTGACACTATTAATCGCCTCAAATTAATCATGATACGATACTAGGTATCTGAATCTTAATTCTTCGATCTTTTATTTTTACATTACGTTGGTATATTTTATAGAGAACTTACTGTAGATAATTTATGTCTCATTAGATAAGTTAAGATTGAGTTTGAAACGATACTTCGTTGTTTTTTTTTTATCAAAGATATTTGGAATCAAATTCTTTCAATATACATTACGAATCAATATCATGAAAATTTTGCGATGCATGGAAATTGAAAAACTTGACATTATATCGTATATTCTTGAAGATTATTGTTTACATATATAAATTTTACTTGTCAAAAACAATCTCCGTTTAAAAATTTGAAGGGCAAGTGCAAAGAAAGTTGCATAGACATATCAATGCAAAAATAATCAATCCACGTCGAGAATGGTAAAATATCAAGTCTGTGAAATCTATTGTTATTTTTCTCTCTTTGAATTTGTTTTTCTTCGAGAGGATTCTTCGGATCTTCCCGAACCTTCATTTATATTGAATTTTTACGTAAAACGACATTCGCAAAAGAATGTTCCGCAAAGTCACGTTCGTATATCCGAGGAATGTCAGTTATCTCGTATCGGTGATAGGACCACCTGTTCCGAGGAATTATACACGGCGTCTAAGAGGAATGTCACGTAATAGCCTAATTATATGTGACACCATATCGATTTATTAGAATTTGGATCGTTGTGTTACATATGTAACATAAAACAATGACAATTCAGTCTTTTTATAATTTAGACATTTCTTTTTACATAATACATGTGTGTTTTACATATATATGGTGAATGCAAGAAATATTCGTACAGGAAAGATTTTTATAAGAAAAGCTTTTTGTTCATAGAAAATAAACAATAATTAACATTTATTAACAATGAGTACGTTTTAATATAAACAAAAGACTTCGCGGAAATGACCGTATTTATTATCTTAGAAGTAAATTTCTTGCACGAATATTTTTCTAAATAACAATTTTTTATTTTTACTTATTATTAAGATAATATATTTTAATTATTCCACATTATTTGAAGTAAAATAATTTTGAGAAATATATAATCTATTTTATTAATAAATTACTAATTAATATTTATTTTCTAAAGGTCTTATCTTAAGATTTTTTTTTAAATATCGTCTTGCATGAATACTTTTCGCACTCACTGTATATCACATGCTTCTATAATACATTTCTTTTTTTATTTTTTATGTATGATTATATAATAATGCATGATTAAGATCGCATTATAAAATACAATTTAAAAGCGCGTAATAGTTAATGGCTATTGATAAGTACATAACTAATAGAGAATTTCTAGGAATTAGGAAAAAACAAACCACTACGTCAAAATTTAAATTAATCGCGTCAATTAAAATCCTTGTTCTCTCCTATTCTTCTAATAGAATCATCACAACTCCTCCACGTAATCCGTCATTACGGTGTTGCGTAATTTAACTCGAAGAACGATTCTCTTCAATTTTACCGCGGCATTGCTCATTATCCAATTTCAGCGGTCGTCGAACTTCTCGCCGTCGAAAATTGCATGCGTTTATTCATCCGTTCCGGTGTACAAGGCCCAATTTTCATATGTTGGCACGTGGGTTTATATTTGGACGCGGATCAGCGGGTGGTTTCGTTCACGTTCACGAGTCGAATACAAGAATCACGTGTGCGTAATTCCGCGTGTTCTGGTTACGACCTTCGTGCGATCGTACTGCTACCGCGGGTCCGCTACCGGGTAGCATAATCGACTGTACTCTCCTTTGACATGCAAATGACGCCAGGCAGCATTCAAATTGTAGCCCGTATTCCGGCATAGTTGCACACTGACTTTTGTATTGTACAACAAGCACTGTGCGTTACACGGCGATAAAGCGGCTTTATTAGATTGCATTTCGTAGTCGCGTGTTGTTGGATCTTTGTGGAAAAGGGAAATAATGATCCAACCATTGTTACATGAGAATGGCAGAAGGTAATCCGTAAGTAAAACTCGAATTTTCTCTCCATGACATATATATACAATTCGTATTTGCGAATTAGCAGATTAGAATAAGATTAGAATAAATGCATTGACAATGAGAGCATAATGTATTAAATTTTAATAAATATTTCAATAATATTGGCTGAATATTTACTAAATATAAACATATATTGTATTTATTTGGTACAAGAACCATTAATTTGATTCATCATTTTTATACGATTTTATAAATATTTATTTATCACAAATAAATGTTAAATTAGTACTAGTCGAATAAATATTTATTCAAATTTATTACATTTTTTCAGTACGATGAAAACATAAATTGTTAATAAAATTAAACAAGATATTTAATTAGCCGAACAATAATCCAATTATTATTAATTTGAATTAAAAGTCAGCATTGAATATAAATAAAGTCGCTATTAAATAAAAGCAATCTTCACAAATTATTTTCTATTTAGGTGCTTACATGGCGTATTGGATATAATTTAGACTGTCGACTGTCTACACGTCGGATAGATACCGGCTATAAATAATATATATTTGTACGCATACATGCACATATGCTCGTGATTAAATCGAGTATCATTAGCGATCAGTTAATGTCCGAGATGAACATTCTATTGGTGTCTGCCGCGTTGTGCGCACGTGACTGTTGCATTTGCAGGTGCAAAGTGTCGTTGGCCAATGAGGTCGTCGATCGTTCACTGTCCAATCGAGTATTTTCATGCGTATCTGTAATGGTGTAATGTTCTGTGTATATTCGCGAGATCGAGGTTAATTGATAATATGGGTTTAAATGTTTTGAATCATTAAAATTTTGAAATATTAATGCTAATGCAATTTTGGTGTAATAACTGATTATAGAGGAATAAAAGAATGTTCTTTTTTTCTTTATGTCTTTATTATTTTTCTGTAATCAACTAAAAAAATGGCAATTTTTTTAGTTATGTCATATGTAACAAATAAACGATACGTTGTTGATTATGACAATTTTAATTATGATTTATAACGCAACGTTCATAGATTTTTTTTTTTCAATTAATCTCGTCGACAGATTTTTAAATGAATTAAGGCTGCACGGTGCGCAGCGTTCTATCATTATTTCTCGTCTCTCTTGTATAAACAGTTCCAACCATACATGTATCCTAATAACTCTATACTCGAGCATCGCTAGATGTGGTTATTCACTTTTATGCACAGTAAAGTCGTTATGGAAGTTTGAGAGGAACAGGCCACGCGTACATGCATATATAAACTGTAGTTTCCTAATGTACTTCTAATGTTCTTGCGCAAACGGTTATTTCTAAGTGCGAGCGACAAGTCAACACTTTTAGCGTGAATAGTCGTAACACGATGTGACATTTAAACGATCGACTACCATTATCGTTTTTAATGCACTGCTTGCATTATTAATTTAAATCTTTTTATTATTAATATTAAACGCATACATGATATAGAAATTAATTTCTAAATGTTAAAAAAAATCAAATAGTTTTTTGCGATTCGAGGTAAACAATGTTGTGAGAATAATAACTTTGCTTGTAATTGCGTAACGATATGTTTTCTATCGCGAGCACGGAATTGCTACGGAGATACCGGTTCTAAACTCTCGAACTCGGAATCGGTTCGAACTGGCTTGGAAGCCATTATGTCGATTTGATGTCAATGTGAGAATAACTTCAGTCTTTGTTATGCAATGATTTGTTTTCAAACGCGAGTTACATGAGTTCGCGTTTGAAAAACAAATCATTGCTAAAGAGCTCGGAGTCTTCCGAGCTTGGAATCAGTTCTTAATCGATTCCTTATTGAGTTAGAAGACCGCACTTCGCTGACTATGCTGTTTCCACGATTTAGTACTCATGCGGTAATAACTTTACTTGGCGTTGCGTAACGATTTGTTTTCGCGCTCGGGGTGGAATTGCTTGCTGTAAGAAAGAAGGATCGAGCGATACCGGTTCGCGATATATGCGTCGTATTTGCTTGGCCGTAGGTGCCTTTTAGAGGTTGAGAAAATATCTGTGTCACTCGTGACGATCGGTCGCCGCCGTTGAGCTTGCCAGATACTTGTTGTAAACAGGATGGAATTCACATGCAAATTTAAATTAACGTTTATGCGACAGGAGTATCGAGGTCGCGAGCTTAATTTTCATCCATGATGATTTCAGGAGGCTGCGAAAGAGTAAAAGTGCTCTCGCGTTTTTCGGTGAAAGTACAGACGATGGGCTCCGCAGGATCGATCAATTGGGTTAACGACTCCTCCGAGTAGACACACATTCGCCATTCCGAGCACGGGCTCGAAGTTGCGCGATTAACCGGGATGATTATGACAGCGGAGAAAATATCCTTGCCAAAGTAACATCCGACAAAATTGATGCTCATTATTCTTCAATGACTTCACGATGACGTGCGAGTAGTTGTAATTAGATCGATTACTTTTCATTATGGTATCGTAACATTACCTATAATATTATCACCTTCGATAATGATATAATTTATATACGATCATTAAATGAATATCCGGTCGTCCTTTTGTTGAATTTACATTTATAATTATTATATTTATATTATAATTTTTCTCAAGTGTT